TATTTAGATTTCGATATTAAATAACCCATAAAGATGTTGATATACCGCTAAACAAAATCAACCAATTAACCAATTAAAGGGTTTGCTTAGACTTCTTGAAAGTCTTTCCTAGTTCCTCCGATGTAAATCTTCCCATTCACGAGGTTCTTCTTCTTCTTCTTCTTCTTCTTCTTCTTCTTCTTCTTCCTCCTCTTCCACCTTCTTCTTCTTCTTCTCCTCCTCCTCCTCATCCTCTTCCAACTTCTTCTTCTTTTCCTCCTCATCCTCCTCCTCCTCCTCTTCTTCCTTCTTCTTCTTTTCTTCTTCTCCTCCTCCTCCTCTTCCGCTTTTCTTCTTCTCCTCCTCCTCCATATTCTTCTCTTCATTCTTCTTCTTCTTTCTTCTTCTTCTTCTTCTTCTTCTTCTCTCCTCTTCCTCCTCCTCTTCCACCTTCTTCTTCTTCTCCTCCTTCTCCATATTCTTCTCATTCTTCTTCTTCTTCTTCTTCTCTTCCTCCTCCTCTTCCACCTTCTTCTTCTTCTTCTTTCTTCCTTCTCCATCTTCTTTCTTCTTCTTCTTCTTCTTCTTCTCTTTCACCTTTCTTCTTCCTCCTCCTCCTCATCCTTCCACCTTCTTCTTCTTTTTTTTTCTCCTCCTCCTCCTCCTCTTCCACCTTCTTCTTCTTTTCTTCTTTTCTTCTTCTTCTCCTTCTCCATATTCTTCTCATTCTCATTCTTCTTCTTCTTCTTCTTCTTCTTCTTCTTCTTCTTCTTCTTCTTCTTCTTCTTCTTCTCTTCCTCCTCCTCTTCCACCTTCTTCTTCTTCTTCTTCTTCTTCTTCTTCTTCTTCTTATGCTTCTTCAATTCTTCTTTCAGTTTCACCTTCTCCTTTTCATTTTCAATCCTTCAGTAAAAATAAATAAATAAATAAAAAAAGTAAGCTGTCAAAGAAACCGCTTTTTCTCCCGCGGACGCCTGCCCAACGAGATCTTTTTTTTTCCCGCCGTTTCTATGCAAAGTCCCGCCCTCTTCGGTCTTAAATACGCGCCCCCAGAAGCCGAACGAACCAAAACAGCTGCCCAAAATCACCAAACCAGACACGCGTTTCCCAGCGCACAACGCGCCAATAATTTAGAACTGGATCTTATAATAAAACTGTAATTAGCATCTAATTGTCAATCACTATTCTCATTTTTCTTTGTTTCTTGATTCATTATTATTATTATTATCGGTCGTAGCTGTCTAAGCAGTCACATTAAATAAGTCGAAGGCTGCCATAGTGACTTTGATGCCTACGACGCCATTTCGTGCCAAAATAAACGAGTGTCATAAATACGATACAAATGAACATTAAATAAATAAATAGTGATAAAAAATTTATTGCAATTAATTATCATAATTACTGCTGTAATATTAATAATAATAACAATAATAATAATAATTATTATTATTATTATTATTATTATTAGCAATTCCATGAAAATTTCACGCTTTTCCTATTTAAATTTTCTGACGAATCATAATTCTTAAGTGAATAATTCAATAAGCTCCTGACGAGTTTCACGACTTCAAAATATCCGTAGAAATTATTTCATTGCATCGTTAAATATCTGAGCTTAACAATTCTAGCAAAGTATTACAATAAAAATCATAAGTACGAATACAGGTCATTATTTAAAGAAGTAAGAGGGTAGAAATGAAAATATTTAAAATTGATAAGGTTTTTTCCATTTCACTGAAGCAGACGTTAAACGGCTGAGAGCGTTATCGCCTCCCAATCATCCCTTTCTTTCTGTTTTTTTTTCTTTCCTTTCTCTATCCCAAAAACCTGACTGCGCCTCTGATATATTTTCTCTTTCCGTTTTTCTTCGCAATCAAAACGGAATTGTCCATTATTTATCTGAGGTAATAACAGGGAGTAACGTACGTACTAACTGTGACAAGAAGAAACACGCTGAATTATATTATCATATAATAATTGTGCTTACCCATCGCCCTAGTTTAGTTTGCACGACTGCTACGCCCTGCCAGTACCTCATAAATAATGAACTATTCCTTTTTGATTGCGTAGAAAAACAAAAGACATATCAGAAACTTAGTCTCAGTAAAAAAAGAAAATAAGAAAATAAGAAAGAAAGAAAGAAAGATAGAAGTGTCTAACGCTTTCTGCTAATACCTCATAGAGAATGGACAATTCTGCTTTGATCTCGTGAGAAGACAAAAGATTTATCAAAGACGCTACTTGGTTTCAGTGAGAAAATTAAAGAAAGTAAGAGAAGATAGAAGTGTTTAAAGTGTGTTTCAGTGAAATGGAAAAAAAATTATTAATTTCAAATCTTTTCCTTTATACCATCTTATTTCTTGAAATAAGACTAGAATCCATATTTATAATTGGTGTTGCAATACTTTGTTAACGTTAAGCTCAAATTTTTAACTATGCGGTGGGGGAATTTTATTGTCATAGAACTCGCCATGACCTTATTCAATCATTAATTTAAGAATTTCAAATAGGAAAACCGCGAAATTTTCACTGATTAAAACTAATTACAGCATACTTAATTTAATGAATTTTCATTAACATTACTTTTTTTTTTCTTTTTCCTTAAAATCAACTCCGTTATTTTTCACTCACCATTAGATTATTTTGTTTACTATATAACACATTGAAAATAAATGTTAAACCTGATTTCAGTTCATTTATTTAAATATGTTATGATGTTAATTTGGGGTTAATAAAGACAAACGCCAAATAACATGTAACAATAAAATGGTGTTTATTCGGTTGGTAAGTTGGTACAGATATCGCCTGAGTAGTCTATAACTAACTCAGCCCAGAACTTCTTCTACACTGTCTTTTGACATGCCACTATTTAACGTCCTTGTTTGTAGACGAGTTCATCTTCAAGAGGGGTGGTAGGTTCCTACACAACAAAATATAAGCCCTCATATCCGGACTTTGTAACCAATTCCTCCTATCCGGAATCCCTCCTATCCGGAATCCCTCCTATCCGGAATCCCTCCTATCCGGACTTTGTAACCAATTCCTCATATCCGGAAGATCTCATATCCAGAATCCCTCCTATCCGGAATCCCTCCTATCCGGACTTTGTAACCAATTCCTCATATCCAGAATCCCTCATATCCGGAATCCATCCTATCTGGACTTTGTAACAAATTGCTCATATCCGGAAGACCTTCTTAGTCCGGTTATCAGGAATTCTACTGTACTGTTATTATTATTATTATTATTATTATTATTATTATTATTATTTCCTTTGATTTCTGGTGTGTATTCATTTCTTCTTAGTCCGGTTATCAGGAATTATTACTGCTATTATTATTATTATTATTATTATTATTATTATTATTATTAATTTTTTTCTATGATTTCTGGCGTTAACACATTTGAAAAGTCCGGGTCCCGCCCAAGGACCTAAGGTTAGAAAAGGCATCATGACACTTTCCACTGACAAAAAAAAAATATAACATAGATAAAGCCCTTCGTAAGGTGTATATATTGTACTTGTCAGAACAATTTTTTATATCTCCTTGAGGCATGGACTTCCAGGAATCCTTCAATTAATCTACTGCAATCTTTTCCAACCAGTCCTAGGGCTCCAACTACAACACGGATTGTTAATGTTCCCATATGCCACATTTTAGAGATTTCTGTTTCAAGGTCCTTGTATTTTGACAGCTTTTTGAATATCTTCAAAGATACATTTCAGTCTGCAGAAACAGCCATATCAAGAAGGAGGCAGTTTTTTTGTTTGTGGTCTTTAATAACAATATATGGGCGGTTGGCTTTGATTGTTCTGTCAGTGTGTATTGTGTAGTCTCATAGAATTGCAACAGGCCCTATCTCCGTTACCGGGTCTGGGTGGTGTTCATACCATTTTCTTTCAATTTCCTTCCCGTAGAAGTTGCAGATTTTCCAGTGCATATATTGGCCCACTCTGTCATGCCGTGTTTTATATTCAGTGGGTGCCAATATCGTGCAACCTGATACAAGATGATCAATCGTTTCTGGATATTTATCACAGAATCTGCATTTTGGGCTGACACAATATTTTAGTATGTGTGCTTGATAATTCCTAGTTAGCAAGCTTTGGTCCTGTGAAGCAAGGATAAAACCTTCAGTTTCAGCTTTCAACCCTGCACTACGTAGCCACTGATGTGTACGAGTTTTGTCTATGTCAGCTTGTTTGGTACGGGTAGAGTATTGTCCATGAAGCGGTTTATCTTGCCATCGCTTCTGTATCTGGTCGGTTGCATTCGTCTTTGCTGTCTTTTTTAAGTATTTTTCAGTTTCAGTCGGTGTATTGAGCTGTAGTTGCATCTCTACGCCCATTTGAAACTGCATTTTGAATTTGTTGGCTTCTTTTATTACGGAGTAAAGACGCTTACTACTTTCATGTTCCTTGACGCATACCATCATCCAGTCTTCTGTAGTTTCCAAGTATCTTTGGAGGCCAATTGTTGTAGTTTTGTAGGACAGTTCTAGTTGAACTAATCCTCTGCCTCATTCGGATCTGGGCACATACAGACGGTCACCATCAACTTTGGGATGATGCATGCGGTAGCAAGTGAGAAGCTTTCTTGTTTTGGCGTCCATTCGCTTAATTTCAGCTATGGTCCAGTTAAGGACATTAAAGCTGTATTGCACCACAGGGATAGTATTATTATTATTATTATTATTATTATTATTCCGGGAAATAATCAATGTCCTAGAGAAAAGAAAGGATGTGATTTTTGTTTTTCCTACTTAATTAAATAAACGAAAGCTATTAGCAGACAAAAATTAAATAGAAAAAGCTCTTAGCTTATGGGCTGTTTTTTGGCGGAAGGATTTCCTGAAGAGACGGTGCACCAATAATACTGTTAAATTGTTCTTGAGTTTCTTTCTTTATCAGACGCAAAGATCCAACTACAAGATACAGATTTAGTGACTCATCTCATGTTATTCCCTTCGATTTCTCTTGTATACTCATTTCCTTCCGGGTCCCAACCAGAGACTTAAGGTCAGAAATGGCATTGTAGAATGCTTGCTTTCTTGAGTGTTGCTTCCATGTCGGAATCACCAACGTTGTAGTTGCTGTTAACTTGAACGTCGGGATGACCATTTTTGTAATGGTAGATATCGCCACAATTATTTATTTCCAACGGGGTCACCAATCTTGTAGCGGTTGTATTACCATTGTTGTTGTGAACGTCGAACGACGGACGTCGGGGTTGCCATTATTGTTGTGACGGTGTTATCAATATTTAACTTTGGCTAGGAAAGGTGGGATTAAGGACAATGCGTGGACGCAATGCAATTTATATTTTACGTAAATAGCACATAGAATAAAATACAAAACTGAACGGAATGATTTCAAAACATAACAGTTGAATTTATTAATATTTGATGTACATGCATGCGAACTAAAAAGGTAGGACAGAGTCGTGTCCCTTTGACTAGGTGTTAGTTGTAGCTGAGTTCATATTAAGAAGAAGTAATATTAAACTGTAATTTAGAAGAATAAAGTTTGGAATTGTGAGTTGCAAGGTTGGTAAAAGTTCAGTAGAGATTTCAGAGTTTGTACATGCGTGAATGTTGGTAATTGTCTTTAACGTCTGACCGCAATGGCTAAGACGGGAGTTCTTGAAGATTACATCTTGGCACTTGGTAGAAAGGAATGAGACGTGCGAGAGAGATGAATGAAAAGAAAACTCGAGGGAGTTTACACGTGTTGGGTTTATATAATGGTCATTAGGCTCCCAGCATATGAGCGGGAAAACAGATTGGTCGCGTGCAGGCGGTTTGATTGGTCGGAACTGACCAATCAACAAGCGAGATTGAAGGTGATTGACCAATGAATACTTGTTATATTTGTATGACAGTAGGATGTTACTTACCAGATAGGAAAAGTGCATTTCCTAAAAAGAGGTAAGGCTGGTTTGTTGTGGAAGATCCCACAGCAGTATTACATTGTCCACTGCATACTTTTCTAAAAGAAAACAAAAAAAAAACGACCCTAAGTTCACACACATTTTACATAAATAAAGCCGTTGGTAAAATGGGAGCTGTACTTGTGAGTACATTTTTATATATTTCTTTAAGGCTTGGGTTACCAGGAACCACTTCACTATGTCTATCGGAATCTTTTTCAGTCACTTCGATGGCTCCAACTCCAAGTGGAATTATTCATGTCCTCTTGTGCCACAGTTTTTTAGATTTCCACTTGTATTTTGATAATTTTTGAAGATCTTCAATGATACATTACCGTCTGCAGGAGCTGCCATATCAATAAGAAAGCATATTCTGTTCTTGTGATTTCAGATCAGATTATCTAGACGATTAGCTTTGATTGTCATGTGTTTGTCTATTATCACCATTATTATTATTATTATTGTTGTTGAGGCGCACCCACCTTCTAACTAGTAATGGACTGGTCCGTCTTATATAAGTCAGCTCTGGAGAGAGAGTGACAGAGCGTCAGAGAGAGAGTCAGGGTTAGCAGTCTAGATAAGCTTACCCGTTACATACCGTTGGACTATAGTCTTTGGATATTGTTTCGTACTAACCAACCTTCGTTCTACTAATCACTCTATTGTTAATTGCTTTTATGAATATACCAGTATTTTCCTCTACAACTGTGTTTGTCTTGATTCACACACCGACACGCGGGAAACTCACAACATCTCAATTATTATTATTATCATTTTTATTTTCTTTGATTTCTGGCGTTTACACATTTCTTTCCGGGTCCCGCCCAGAGAACTAAGGTTAGAAATGGCGTCATGACACTTTCTACTGACAAAAAAAAAAATTAAAAAAATAAATAAATTACATAGATAAAGCCCTTCGTAAGGTGTGGGCTGTACTTGTCAGAACAATTTTTTGTATCTCCTTGAGGCATGGACTTCCAGGAATCCCTTCAATTAGCCTACTGCAATCTTTTCCAACCAGTCCTAGGGCTCCAACTACAACAGAGATTGTTGATGTTCCCATATGCCACATTTTCGAGATTTTATTATTATTGTTATTATTATTATTATTATTATTATTATTATTATTATTATTATTTCATTTCTTGGTGTGTACTCATTTCTTACTGGGTCCTGCCCAAAGTCCTCCTCCTCCTCCACTTTCTTCTTCTTCTGATTATTATTATTATTATTATTTTATTTCCTTTGATTTCTGATGTGTACTCATTTCTTTCCCGGTCCCGCCAGAAGACCTAATGGCATCATGACATTTTCACTTAGCAGTTTTGAAAAAAAGTCACATATTTTACATAGATAAAGTCCTTCGTAAGGTTTGGGCTGCTCTTGTGAGGACAATATACTGTATTTCTTTAAGGCATGGGCTTCCAAGAATCCCTTCAATGTGTCTCCTGGAATCTTTTTTCCGATTAACCCGAGGGTTTCAGTTACAACTGGAACTGTTAATGTCCTCATGCGCCATGTTTTTGAGGTTTCCACTTGTATTTTGATAGTTTTTGAAGATCTCCAAAGATACATTACAATCTGCAGTGACTGCCAACAAGAAGACATATTCAATTTTGCGATTTCCGATCACGATATCTGGACGATGAGGTTTGATTGTTCTGTCTGTGGGTATTGTAAAATCCCATAACATAGCGCAGCAAGAATAGATAGATAGATAGATAGATAGATAGATAGATAGATAGATAGATAGATAGATAGATAGATAGATAGATATAATCAGATAGATATATGAACAGATAGATAGATAGATAGATAGATAGATAGATAGATAGATAGATATGCGAAAATACTCCTACATAGATAGATAGATAGATAGATAGATAGATAGATATGAACAGACTGAGATAGATAGATAGATAGATAGATAGATAGATAGATAGATAGATAGATAGATATGTGAAAATACTCCTACATAGATAGATATGATTAGATAGATATATGAATAGATAGATAGATAGATAGATAGATAGATAGATAATGTGAAAATACTCCTACATAGATAGATAGATAGATAGATAGATAGATAGATAGATAGATATGTGAAAATATTCCTACATAGATAGATATGATTAGATAGATATATGAACAGATTCATAGATAGATAGATAGATAGATATGATCCGACAGATATATGAATAGATAGATAGATATGAACAGACTGAGATAGATAGATAGATAGATATGTGAAAATACTCCTACATAGATAGATATGATTAGATAGATAGATAGATAGATAGATA